TTTATAAAAGACCTATATATCAGTCTAACTACATGTTTTTCATTTCTACTGATTTGATATGTTATTTCATATTCTATACTATTGTCTTCCCACAAATTTTTATGAAAATAGAAAATTTAGTCATGTAGTCATAACACCAAATTTTCTATTTTAATAAAAATTTGTGGGAAGACACTATATAAGAAGTATACTGGATAGTCCCTAAATTTTAGCTCTTTAAAAGAAACTCACCATTAATTTGAAAACTACTACAGCAAGAAAACGCATCCTGGTCATATAATTCCCCAACAGAAGGTGTTAATAAGGCCTCACATGTTTTAAACTCATCACTTGACTCAAAATCAACAGAACGTGTGTCAATTCTAGCATTGACAAATACGACAGCTCATCAGCTGGCGGGTGTTCAGATGGAGGACTATTACTGGGGTATCCAGTCTCTAGCCTGGGCCAGGGATGGCAAATAAAGACTCCAGATACAGAGAGGTGATTTGACTTAGCCTCCCCTTTACCCAGGTATGTCAGTAGGTAAACAGGGTCCTTATCAAATACACACAGGGAACAAGGCTGCTTTAGAGACGCGGTGATTTGGGGGGTATATTCTACCTAATTACATAACTTGACAAATTCAGTAAATATTAACTCATTCGCCATTACATGTAATAGACTGACGGTGATGGTGTTTTGTGTGAGGGTGTGTTAGGGTATTCGTGTGTGAGGGAGGATGAGAGGGTGCATTGGCGTCGGAAGCAAATTGAAAGTGGAGGGGGGCTAAGTGTAAAAAAAAAAAATTTTGTACCTTCAAAAAAACCTAACAAGAAAAAAAAAAAAAAAAGGGAAATATCCATTGTGTGTGAACTTCAGTACCAAATTTTTTTTCCAAACACCAACACTTTCCCCATTTTAAACCTATACTAAGGCGTATCTGTGGAAAGTGGGGGGGGGGGGGGGCTAAGATATGTTCAATGCCTGTGTATATATTGGGAAAAAAAGTGGGGGGGGGGGGGGCTAGCTCCCCCGGTTCCGACGCCTATGGGGTGTGTGAGTTAGGGTGTGAGACATCAAATGCCTAATGTAATTATTTAACCCCCTCCGAACTTTTTTAATTGACAAAGGAAAATTAGTGTACCACTGGGACGGTCAATATTTTATATATCTCTAGCAATTTACGTCGCATGTATTAGAAAATCACCAACAAGGTGTTTGTGAAACACTGATGTCCTCGTAAAGCAGGTAATGGCGAGGGTTGAATTCTCTCAAATGCATGTCCAAAAGGTCACAAGTCTTGGTACCCAAAGGAAGGTCTTATTACAATACACCTGTGATATAGGAAAGCCTTAGTACTTAATCTGTTCAAAAGTTATGATCAAGGTTAAAGTTTATAAAAATTGGTCAAACTCTTAGGTCAAGGTCAAAATATTTATATCAGCTGAAATGTCTTGTCACAATATATGTATTATAAATATGTGAAGTATATATGAAACCCCCTAGCTCCAACTGTTCAAAAGTTATGGCCAAGGTTAAAATTCGGTATTTTTTTGTAAAAAAAAAGGCAACTCCTAGGTCAAGAGGTACCAAAGAAAGGTCTTGTCACATGGAATTCACCTGTGGAATATAAAGCCATAGTCCCACCCACTCAATAGTAATGGGCTAGGTTAAAGTTGACAATGTTCAGACAGACAGAGAGACAGACATCTCAGGTATTATTTCTTATATTTTGTGTTTTCCCCAGCTTTATAAAGTAAATGATATTCGATAATTAACATTACATTTAACTCCTATTCCTCAATATTTGTTTACCTTTCAACGGTTCAAGAAGGTCCGTTTGTGGAAGTGGACGTAAAACTATCTTTTAAAGCTGTTTCGGATTGAAAGCTAAAGTATCAATAATTGGAGAAAAATTAACGATTAATTATAGGGTACCATTCTAAGAGAGTAGAAAAGCATGGACTACAAGAAATAATACATGGAGTGAGCGACAAAAAATCGGCGGCGTAATCGTCTTTTAAAATATTGAAACACTAAGATTTTTTTTAACTAGTTTTTCCGCAAAAGATTATAAAGGAAAAATTACCCTCTGCTAGCTTGGACAAATGCCTGATAATTAAGCATCTAATTTTTTTTTGGTGAGGAAACATATTAAATAAGTAATACTTCAAGACAAAATCGAAAAATTATATATATAATTGAGGAACGTATCATCTGTCCTTAAATACAATTTTAAACATTATCTTTCCTGGCTGAGGATCGGATATCCTTAAACTTGCTTGAAGAACGCCCCTTTCTGTTGCTAATACATGTATATATTGCTATTTATTAAAACATGTTACTATATGGTAACAGTCCATGGCTTGTTAAGGACTTAACTGACTCACTTTGCAAACCCGCATAAATTAATTAAATTACATTTATGGATAAGTGAAAGGGTGATGTTATTTTGGCATTTTATGCGACTTCTCATCACATTAACAGGACCCAAGCATTAACAGCATTGAATTACATTTTGAGATTTTAGGTTTTATCACAGGCACCTGAAGTATGGATAATACCCCCCCTTTTTTTTTTGTTAATGAAAAAAAATGTAAGAGTGTATCAAGTTATAAAAATCCCCCGTCAAACACATCCTATATGGTATATGCATAAAAATACAGTGTGTTTTTATTATACCGAATAGGGTCATTCTTTAAATTTGAGAAAAAAGTACAATCTGCTTGCATATAACGACATATAGATGTGTTTGACGGGGGAATTTTATATTTTTGAGATATTATACACTCTTACATTTTTTTCATTAAAAAAGGAGGGGGGGGGGGGGGTATTATCCATACTTCAGGTGCCTGTGGTTTTATATTTTACAATTTCATAACTTTGTTCATTTAAAGAACCTTTTTCTGTGAAATATTTTTATCCAATTCATGAATGATGTTTGATTAAAATATGAATAAATTCAAATTTTGAATTTTCTACCATTAATACGTTAATACATTGCACGCAATTCTGTATTGATATATAATTATTAAACCTTACATCTAATCCCTCTCTGATCAAGATTACCGCAAAGGATTTTTTTACGCATTTACGGTCTACAGACTGTTTTGTTAGTCTGGCTATTAAATGTCAAAAGATTTACGTGTGCATTTGTCTTGAATTTGTTAAGATTATTTAAAATCCTGTGAACCATGCAGTAAAGAAATGCGATAACTTTTTTTAAAAAACACTACAAAAAAAGAGGTCTATGCTCATAAATGCACATCACAAACTTGGAAATGCTGGCGACCTATAGACTAGATTTAAATAAACACACAGCATAAGGAGGATGTAATTATTATAAATCCTGTTCTATTTCCTTATGCGTCTTTTCGGAGAATTCAAATTAAAGAGTGACAGGATGGAACATGAGGTCGATTTTATAAAACTCTGGACTTGTTAGAGAATTTCATATATAGGATGTGATCAAGAACCCTTTTGGATTATAATTTTTGTGGAAAAATCTTGAGGAAAGCCGAAAATCATGGACGTCACAATGAATATTCTAGCGGAAAATTTGAACACACCCCCATTTCTTTACTATGGACAACTGTTTGTCTTCAGGACCTGGCTCAGTTTCGCAGTTGATGCCATAATGGTCTACTTTCTTGATCGAAAAGGGTGCTTACGGATAGGGAAAAACCTGCTCATATATGTGACAGCTGTGATTTCTCTGCTTATATTTGTGACAAGTTTGGTGCTAATGGGAGAGGACTTGTATTCCCATGCCAACCAGTTAATGGTTGGTTTCAAGTTTCTTACTGCTTTTCAGGCCTCGTATTTACTATGCAATTTTTCTCACAACAAAAAATATGATTTTGATATACCAACATTATCGCAAATATTTTTATGTTTTGAAGCCATTCTGTGTTCTCTGCAATTGATTAAACTTATTGTGTCTGATGTGAGTTACTCGTCTGGAATAAAATTCTAACTGAAATAGGTGACTTTTTTCTGTTTTAATAGATATAACTTAATTGTTGAATATATACAGGGCAATATGAACATCTAGAGATAACTTGAACCTTTCACATGAATATCGATTGGTATGAGCTATGGCTTTCATAGTTCACATATGCATTCCTTTTGACAAGGTCCTTCACTGGGTGCCAATATATTTAACCTCTTGACGTTGGGTTTAATCCTCCTATGCAAAAATTCACCGAACTTTTAACCATGGCTGCAACTTTTGCACAGTTGGTGCTATAAGGTTTTTATACTTCACGTGCATGCTCAATATGACAAGATCTTTACTTTGGCATAAATATTTATAACTTGGACATGAAGAGTTTGACCCACATTTTAAAAACTTTAACCCTGGCCATGCCTCGAGTATTTTATTCAAGAGTTTTCATGTTTCTCAGATTTATTCCCTGTCATGAACTTCTGTCAGATACAACAATATAGACTATTTAACTTGATCTTAGAGCGTGGCCTGTTTTTTTTTTTTTTTTTTATAAATAAACTTTAACTTTCCCTTTTATATTTCAAATGACAAGACCTTCCCTTTGGTGCCATTAATTATGACTCTTTGACCTTGGGAGTTTGACCCTTTTTTCTAAACTAACTTTGGTCAGTTAGTGCTTAGACTTTCATATTCCATATGTATATTCACTGATACAAGCCCTTTCTTTGGGGGACAAATTTGATCGCTGTTGTCCTTTAAGTCTGAGTTGCATTTGAGTATCAAAATTTTTTTGTCAAAAGCTGCCATAGAGGGGCATCACTGTTTTGCAACACATCTTGTTTTTAACCAGTCTTACATGCAAAAGCCTTTTCTTCAGACCTACAAGCGGCATTTATTTCCTACACATGTCTATGGTCATTTTAGGTTAATTGATTAGTTGAGTAATGACTTGAGGTAATTGATTATTTGAGTAACTATAAATTTCCAGGAAGGGGGGAAAGGATAAATATCTGGAAATGTCCCAATCTGTGCATGCAGTATGCATTATTAAAAAAAAGGAACATGTCAATATGCACAAAACATCAACAATCTCATCTTTATAATTGGCATTTTTGTTACATTGATATATTTAATATATACAATATTCCACAACACAATTTTACACAGCAACTAATGAACTTCAATCAACTAATTGTAAGATAATGGTCAATAGAGAAAAGATAATATTTGAAGAAAATTCACCAATCAGCAAATGCTTCAATAAAGGATTCATTTTATCTTAGTAATAATTGGGGGTAGAGCAATTTTAAAAGTCTAAAATTAAATAAAGAGATATGAACAACCAAAATTACTGTTGAAACATCAGTTTGAATGCAGCATTTTCTTTTAAAACAAAACATTGGGTGTGAAAGAGAAAATTAAACTGACAGACATGATTTTTACTGGTCTAGATAACAACAATTTCTTGCAGGATTTCTGCTGCTGAGTTAAACAAGAATTACAAACTGTGTCAATGTTACATCACTAGTGCATACAAAACTCTAATAGATAAAGCGCAAAATCACTAATATATAATCTTCCTAATTACAATGTATATTTAAAGCAATGCTTAACTTTTAATCTCCAGCAACTTGAATAACTACGAAAACTTTCATATCATGAACAAGAAAAATAAAAAAAGAATGTATTATTTGATATTACCGGTAATGCTACTTTAAGAATGCTCATTTCATAATTGTCTGTAATGTATTTTAATGTTAAAAAGGAACTATTTCCACCTTCACTGAGAAAAGATTTCCAATGAAGATTGCACTGCTAATTTTTCACAAGAAATTATCACACCAGTCTTTAAGACACCTATAACAATCTTCCTGCTGTTTAGCGTTGGCACCACACACTTCTTTTAACCAGTCTTTAAACATTTCTTCATCCTTCTTCAAGACTAAAAACTGTCCCAAAACTACGTAGGCCTAGGGAGAAAATTAAAAAATACATTGATATATTTACCTTTTCAACAATTTGGAAGAATATTCTAAATTCATATTATCAAATACAATATTTGATGCACAAGCAATGATATATTGCTTTTTTCTGTTGCACTGTCATAATATAAGAAGTCTTGTAACCATTGACATCCTTTTTTTCTACATTATAATAGAAAGGCTTTGGCCTAGTAAACAAATTAAATGTTTTATAGAAGTAACAATACAAACCAAGTCAAACCCATTTTCAATAAGTCTTCCTCCGAGCGTAGGACCTATTCCTGCCAATTCTGTCACCGGTTTCTCTGCCATTGGCTCCTGAACAAAGTTCTTGTGTTTTTGTGATGTTGAAGACATTTTGCTGTGAACCTAAACAAGCATTGAATAAATAACTAAACATCAATTAAATCAATATAATGAAAACAATCAGCATTAAAAGAGGACACAAAGGAGACAGATATATTGAAAAATAACTATAGACATGTATAAGACTTTAGATGGGATACAAAGCTTCTGGTAGGGGTTATAAATTTAAAATGAGCGATAATGTCAAGACCTCAGAATGGAATACTCAGTAGTCTCTGGTCTTATTGTTCATTTGGTAATTTAAGAGGAATAAATGAGTGGTTTTGTTTACAAAAAAGAGGCTCGACCAGAGTGAGAGATGTCTGAAACGATCTCATTGCCGAGAAAAAAGTCTTTCAAAGCAAACAACATATGTCACTTTTCAGCAGGTTAATGATTGATATATTAACAATATATAATCTTGAAGCGGGGGTGCCTGAAAGTGAGTAAGGTACCTTGTGGTAAAACTAAGTAAAGGATGTGCCCCGAAACAAGTGCCTGTGACACAGGGGCATCTACCAGGTCCAGGAAAATCACTATATTTAGTTATATAGCTAAATCTACCTTTATAGCTTTATTTACCTATATAATATAGCTTTATTTAGCTATTTCAGAGTAAATTTCTGCTTTATGAAAAGCAGACAAAAAGTCGCATAATGAGGCAATATTAGTTTTCAACTTTGAAATGGAGTGAAAACAATTCACCAAAAACCCACTTATAAAAATGTTTCCCGTTTTGTGCAATTGCAATCAAAGATTTAAAAGTTTTGGGGCTATATATAATAGTAAATCTGTGAGTAAGCAGCTACTTTAACAAAGAAAAGCAGTTTTGGTCAACAAGATAATTGATTGGTAATAATTCAGCACAATGCAAGGCAATCACACTTAGTCATGCCTCACCGCACTTCCAGCTATCCAAACAATAGAGATGCCTTTTTGGTTAAAAAGTGTTTAAAAGGGGCAATGTTTTTACTATCTATGCCCTAGGTTGTTTTTATCAAACCTTTAAAAAAAATATCAGCCATAACTTACATGCAACTTTCTGTTTGTTTTTCATAAAACAGAAACTTATTCCAAAATAGCTAAATAAAGCTATATTATATAGGTAAATAAAGCTATAAAGGTAAATTAAGCTATATAACTAAATATAGTGATTTTCCTGGACTTGTCCACTGTAGTTTTTACGCATTTATGTTCCCATATTATATATGAATGTACTAAAGAAATGAGCGGACGATGGCTCTGTGATTTGTGTGATGAAAATGTTCAAAATTAGACGTCAATATGAAATATGTGCTATTTAATATCAGCCGACGCTTACAACTCCCACATGACCCTTGTAACGAAATATTCATTTAAAGTACCAGAGTACATTACATACAAAAATAAATATTTTTACCTGGACACCTTTTTAGTAAAATTCTACTATGCCTATCTCTGAATACTTTCGCTTTCGTTAAAAGCCTATTTTTGGCGCTCAGTCATTGAAGATTTTGTTATGCATTCTTGTAACATCGATCCCGACCTAATGCAGTATGACCTGAATAAAATAAATACATATATTAGGATTTTTCTTGACTAAGAGTAACTGAGAATTTAAAAAATATATTTTAGTAAAATAACGAAACAAAAAGCAAACAAACAAATAAGTGTTTGCATATAATCTAAGGTACTTCTCAAGTTCTGAGAGAAATGCACAGGAAATTCAATCATGTGATCAAATTTGGTATGTAAAGTCACATGATGGGAAAATGGCGTTCTCCTGCATGCAAATCGTGTTGATGGTAGGGATGCTGGTAACTGGAAGTATTAACACATTAAGTAAAAAAGCACAAAACGACTGCACGTAAGTATTTAAATAAAAGAAGACACGACTCTCCTAAATGTTTTCTTTTGAATGGAGAAATAAAATACAATTCCTATGTACTGGAGTCTTGTACATGTACCCACGTCAGACATGTGTATTCATGAACTGCATTCCTAAATTGAAATATATCAGTATATGTTACATTTATAACAGGAATAAATAGTCTTGAAGCAGGGTCCAGTATTTGCAAAGTTGGCACTAATTTCTTGACATGTATCTATACAATTTACCAGGAAAAAAATTGAGACAGTTGATTTGATTTAAACATATTTTATTGAAACATAATCAATGGGATTGGACACAAGTTATTCCAACTTAGAATATCCTCTCCAACACAAACAAAAAAAAAAATAATAAATTCATATACATTTGATGAACAACAAACAAATCTACAATGCAAAAAAGAAGAAAAGGGTGCAGAGAGATCTAAGGAAAGGAAGGGAATAGGAGTGCAAGGAAAGATGGAAGAAGGAAGGGGATGTAAAGGATACAGAATGGTTATGCTGGTTGTTCAAAACATCTTTTCGAATTTTTAATCTACTTATGTTGCCAATAATATTGATATTATTTTGTTGACAAAATAAATGAGACAAACAAAAAGTTTTTAAAAAATCAGTTTGTTATTATTTGCTAATGAACATTTTTGTTAACATATATATGTCCTCTGGTATGTTAGGTGGTGAAACTTTGTAGGGTGAGGCAAGCTTACGGTAGTTTCATTTTTAAATTTTATTGCTACAACTCTATAAACACCTCTCATGAATATTAATAAATGCATGCTGTTGTGCATTAATTCTTCTTACATGTAAGATATAATATGTCAATTTAATTTCTTCTATTTATTTTTCCTTTTAAAGTGTGAAAGGATACCCAGATAAATCAGCAAACAACACTTCAAAGCCACATGAGTTCAATCATCCATGGTTTCAAACCCTTATCATGTTCATTGGTAAGTAATTGTCAGCAATTGTGTAAATTAAGGAACATACTTCAAAAAGTGGATTTCTAGAATTTGGGCCAAGAGTGAACAAAACGTACACATGTAGTTCCTTGTATATAATGTACAGTTTTCAGTATTGTTACAAATGTACACATGTATTTGATACTCAGGGCACCTGACCTTGCATAGTTAGTCCATGTATGCATGATGATACTTACAACTATTGACACATTTGTATTAATCATTTTAGCTGTATACTAAATGAACATTTCAAGCATTTACAAGTACATGTATCAAGTTTAATTTATTTCTGAATCAGGCTTGTTGTTGTATACATCAAAGTTCAATAGATATAGAAGAAATGACATTTGCAGGTGAAACAATTTGTTTGATTGGATTTGTGATAGTCAGGAAAAGAGAGCGAGACAAAAGGAAAAATGAGGTTTGAATTATTTTTTTTCATTTCATTAAGCTATAAAAATGAAGTCAAGATAAACTTTATTTATAATTATTTGAAACACAAATTGAGAGAGCTGAAAAGATTGTAAATGAATAAAATCATTTTCAATGAAAAAATCTTTTGAGAAAAAAAAAATAGAAATTTGACCAGCCTATTTTCTGATTTATATGTATATTAATTCTTACAATTTTTAATCCCCTAAAATGACTTGTCAGAAAACCAAAGTTAATTTCAATATCAGTTTTTGGTAGGCAAGTCCAAAGAATGCTTCATCTTTATAAAAATTGTATTACATTTACTTTCAGTTTTCTGTAACTCCTTTGGATGAACTGCCAAAACAGTTTCAGAACAGGTATTTTTTTGTTGTCTCTGAGTGTTTCAAGTGTTTTATGTCTATATATAAATTTTAATATTCTTATGTTTATGTGTATTAGGGGTCCACAACAATTCATTCTTTAGAGATCACGGGTACTGTAACCAAATTTTATTCATGTGCGAGAAATTGTCACGAATTTCACGAGAGCCTCGTCATATCGAATATTTCTCGCAGCGAACCAGTCCTTAAAAGCTCTTTTTCTATAAAAACAGTTCCAAAAAAGGCTTGATCTTGAAATTTAATTGTTGCTAACTATAGTTTACTCCTGGTAAATCACGAAATAAAGTTGTCATGAATAAAAGTTGGTATACAGTATATTAAGGTACATGTTTAAGGATTAGGGGATGGAAATATTTTCATTCTTACATTATATTTGGTTTAAATTTAATTATTTTCCCCTTAACAAACTGGACTTCATATGATGTATGTGAAAAAGTTGAAGATAAAAAAAAACAGCACTTGATCTCAAAAAATCTACAATCAGAACAATCTGTGTCTGCCAGAGTGTGCCATGTCTGGTTTTACTGACTAAAGACAATAAGAGTCAGCTACATGGAAGAATTAAATTGTATACCAGTAATTAAGCAGATGACTTCAGCTTTTCTATTGTGAACCATCCTTATATGGGTAAGTAATATTCCCTTGTCACCTGCATATGGTGATAAATATCCAAACAATACTTGAGCATGGTCTGAGTATGAAAGGTTTTTTTCAACTGCATGAGGCAAGCTTTTGACAGATAAGTTGATGTTACATAGATTTTGATAACCTTGTTTACAGTCAGCATTTTGTAAATTCTATGGTTATTGTAATGACCTTGATAGCAAATATACACTTTCACTATACATTTAAAGAATATTATTTTTAACCTTATCAATATGTTTACTAATGGTGAAGAAGTGGATTTTTACTCCTATAGGCTCATTATGATTGATCCTACCTATGTAATCTTGGGGGGTCTATCTTTGAATTAAAATTTATTATACCCTCCTTCGTAGAAGGGAGGGCATATTGCTTTACCGCTGTCTGTCGGTCCACCATCAGTTTCCGTTCATTTTCTTTGCAGAGGTTGCACATATTAAAATGAAATTTGGTAAACAGATTTTTCATAAAAAATATCTAGGTCAAGTTTTGTTTTGGGTATGAAAGGACCATTTTGACAGAGTTATGCCCCTTGAACTTATAAAAATTCCAATTATTTTGGGAGAATGGCTTAAGTGTTTTATAAACATCTTTTGTTTTATTGTACACATGTACTTGTATATGTCTATGGATCTTTTTAGTGTTGTATTATACTCAGGTGACTTGAGACCCCCAGGCTTCTGGTATATGACATAAAATAAAGTTTGCATGCATGAATGCAGGAATTTATGCTGTAAATGTATTTTTATTAATTGAGGCAAATTTCTCTACAGATTAATACAGTTTGTGGTAGCATTTCCAACTATCTGTGATCTGATTGGGACATCTTTAGCAGGTAAAGGATCACTTGAGCACAATAAACATTTAAGTACATGGAAGCACCATATGTACAGTTATTTAGATGTTTTGAGTTTTGTAGGAATAAGTCAGTGCTATACCCATTTAGAATTAAAAATTTAGAAAATTTAGAAAATTGAGTCAAAAAGAATTTATCAGATGTCATTATTAATAACTATAATTTGAAAAATATTGATGCTTATATCAAGGGGGTGCCTTTTAAGAGCTTTACTCAAAAGGGAAGGCCATTGTGGCAGATCAAAGGTCAATACAGTTACGGTACTTATAAGTCTGAAGGACAAGGTGAATTTTATACTTCAAGAGTTCCTGAATCAATTGGTTGCCCCAAACACAGATTTTATCCTCTTTGATTTGAAATATATTTTATTCATTATACATGAGAGATTGAGCAAACATGAATGCCAATAATCAATCTCTTCATCGACAAAAAGTTCAGTTTTTTAAAACTCAAAATACATGTAAGAAATTTGCTAAAGTACATGACAAAAGTGTAGCCTCCTTTAACTAAGTTCAGCTAGAATACTTGTCTTGAAATTATTTAATTATGAAGCACCTATCTGCAAAGATGTTTTTACATCTTATAGAATATAGAAGCTATGTTTAAGGAAAAAATGTTTTTTGCTTGAAGATTCTTCAAAAATTATCTATATTAATTTGTAGAGCTACATTGTCTTCAATGCCTACATGTATTTGTTTGTGAGATTTCAAGAAATGGTAATAGTTTTACTGAAGTATTTCCTATACATATTGTTATGTGGTAATATTGTTTGTGTCTTCATGACTATACATGTATTTATTGTTTACAGGGATTGGTCTTGTGTATATGTCGATGCTTCTGTATGGCAGATGTTGCGAGGGTCAATCATTATATTTGCTGGGATTTTATCTGTAAGATATATGTTAATAATGATTATAAATTTAAGGGAAAGAACTAATTGAAATCAATGAATGCAACATATTCTACGAAAATGTTGAAAAGTGTCAAAACTGAAAATCAATATTGATTACTAAGAATACTATTGCTCTAAACATGTAGTGTATTTTTTGCCAATTGATATACAAATACACAAATAAATTAAACCAATTAATAATTTGTTTTATAGAAAATCTTCTTGAAGAGAAAGTTGCGGGCAATCCATTGGAGTGGTATGCTGGTCACAATGCTAGGACTTGTACTCGTTGGTTGTTCTAGTGTGTTCAAGTCCAAGACTTCTTCTTCCAGTGGTTCAAAAACAATTTTTGGTTTGTCTATAATCCAACTTCAACATTTATTGTCAGTTCATTTGCATCAGATTTGGTATGATTATGTATCAGACATTTCTCAAATAGCTCTGAATA